TAGAGCAGTCAGAAAACTGTACCAAAGTCGTCCGAAAAGTTCAGACGAGTTTCGGACGAGTTTGGGTCAATTTTCGGAAATTTTTTTTACACGGGCAGTTAGGAATTTGTTGCCGGAAAACGAAATCTTTAAAGTTAAAACACATTAAAATATTAACTTTGGTAGCTGGGCACACATGTGTCGGGAAGTGTATCTTAACCGAGATAGGGACAGCGTTAATATCTTGCAACGAACACAAGACTACAACAACATCTGTTTCGCTAGAATGTCAGCCATTGTTATTACAGTGGAGCGTATCCGGTTGTCCGAGTGCGATCAAGGAGTAGAGGAAGTTACCTTGCAAAGTAAAACAGTGCAGAACACCATATCGCCTACCTCGGTGAGCGCAACCCTCGCCGCCAGCAGGAAGCACAGGGCCTTGGTGAGGGGCTCCTCGGTGTCCCGCAGGGTCCCCGTCAGCTCACGGCCGCCGCCCCGCAGCGTCACGTCCCAAGACTCGCTGGTCAGCAGTGTGAGGGCGGGGAGGGCCTGCTCCTCCCGGCACTGGTCCTGGAGACCCTGGAGCTGCTCGGCGGCCTGCGGCAGCGCACCCTGCAGCTGGCGCTTCAGGGCTCTCCTTACGGGCATGACGTCGTGGTCCTCACCACAGCAGCGGGGCGACGGGGCGGTGCGGCAGTCCGAGCACCAGAGGGAAGTGCTGTGGGGCACAAGTCAGGCCATGAAGCTCTCGAACACCCCGCCTCCGCCGCCGGCTGCGCGCGAGCGAGCTCACCTGTCCAGCCTGACTCCCTCCAACAACTTCAGCGCCAAGAAGTTCGTGATGAGTCCCTCTGGCGGGCCGTTGAAGTCCTGGCGGCACGTCGGGCAGCTGCTGAGGGGCAGCCGGCGCAGGCACTGCAGGCAGGCCGTGTGCCCGCACGGCAGGACCTTGGGCAGGCGGTCGGCGCCGTCGAAGCGCTCGGTGCAGATGTCGCACCTGTCGCACTCCAGGTCCATGTTGCTGACGGCCGGCCGGGAACCGGGAACGGGCTGCTAGTGGTACTTGGGTTCCTGGCCAACATTGTAATGACATTGTAGACTTCCCCCCGGAGCTGTAGCGGCCCCCAACCAGAAACGTCGTATCGATATTCGTCGAACCGACATCGACTCGTCGAAAAATTCATCGTTTCGACGTATTTTTGGACCTCTGGTTCGACCAACGACGTCGAAGTCGAAATGACGGCGTTACGACATGCCATTTCTGTCTGGGGGTGGGGGGGTCTCTGTTCAAATTCCTGCTCCGATAGATCGATCTGCTATCGGTGGGCGGTGGGCGCCGTGCGTGTGCGAGAGAGACAGATGTGTGCTATTCAAATGGATGCTACCTCTCTCGTGTCGACTGACGGATCGCAGACCGGTCGATCGGATGAGCACCTTACGCCATTCGGTGGCGCGGTGGCAGCGCGTAGCGGAACCATAACAAAGCAGAAGCCTCTAGTAGCAAAAATATCTCAAACGCCCTTATTTTGATACTAGGTAGATGTACGCCAGACCACGTCTCGCGTAACAGGCTTCGCGATATCTCACGAAACACTGTTACGCTGCGACGCGCCTGGCATACA